TCAATGAACCTTAGCGATATAGAATTCCTAATGACAATCAATTAACTAATTTATGGACTATTCTACTTAGAACTCTATAACCCATTTGAAGAACTATTCACACATAGTAAAAGAAACAAGACAACAAAATGTAAAAGAAAACATAATTCAATTGAATAGAATAGAACTAGGATTTAGAAATTTTCTCCAAATTGTCAAAAATATTAGGTTTTAGAATCCAATTCATTATCAGAATTTCGTATTGACATTTTTAAAAAATAAATAAAGTCATTATGAATATTCTGATATAGTTAAAGATTTCTGCCTGTATAAAACCGTTTTTCAGAATCTATACATGATCAAAATTCCGTATTGACCTTTCCGAAATTTTCTGAAATATTTTTTATCCTTTCCCTTTATTAAATTTATATTGTTTTTTATACAATATAATTTAAAAATTATAACTATACCGAAAAACATATATCATATCTCTAGCTGTTTTTTTTCTTTAATATTTTCTTTAAAACATTTGAAGAATGAAGAGTGCTTCGGCATAGTTGGGTTAGTGATATCTAATTATTATCAAATTATGTGACTGAATTTTTTTTTTTTTAATTTTTATTTTTTTAAGTGAAGAATTTATTTTCATTCTATCATGTAATTTGTTTCATCAAGCAAGCCCGACCCGAAGCAGAAGCCCAACAAGCAAGGGCTTCTGGCAGCAGTTTTTATTTACAATTTTAGGGACATCAATGCTATGAATGTTCCTTAGTGTAGTGGTTTAGCAACAAGCTCTCTAACTATAAACCAAGATTTGATTACCTCCAATTTTTTTTGTTAGACTGAATAGAAATATAATTATTTATTTTTCTTTTTTGTTGAAAAATTATAATTATAATTAATATAATTATTTACTAAATAATTTTACTTCAAAAACCTAATTTTCTCTACGGGTGACGACGATTTGTATACGTCGTCGTTCTCCATCACCTAATCTATCATTTCAACTTGTTATCCACCTTAATCTCTGACAATAGTTTTTTTTTCTAACTTAAGTGCATGATTGGTTGGGCTGTAAGTCCATCTTAAAGCCTTAAATCTTTCTCAAGCTTTAAATGTATGCCAAGCGTGTTGTAGCTTTTTTTTTTCAAACTTACAGCCCAATTTTTATATTTTTTATTTTAAGGCTGTAGTAAAGGAAATTCTCACCGCCCTATTTTTTTTGCTGTAGAAATTTTAATTCAGTAGATAAATAGAAAAATTAGAAATTACTGACATAAATAGATAACAAAAAACGAAAGATAAATTCTAAAAAAGAGGTAATTATCAAACGTTAAAAAAGGTGTTATAAATATTTTTTATTTTAAGGTTATATGAATTTTTATATACTTATTTAAATTAATAATACAAGATATTTTATTTACTATAAAACAAAACAAAAAAAACATAAAAAATATTATTACAAATATTACATTTACACCGCCCTATTTTTTTACAAATCATTTTTTCTAAATACCTACAATAAAAAACTTACAGCTACAACTAGTTCACTTATAGCAATAATTCTACAGCAACAAAAGTTTTAACTACAGCAAACACAACTATAGCAAAAATTATGCAGCAAATTTTTTACAGTTACAGCCCAACCAATCAGGTGTGATTGGTTGGGCTGTAAGTGCTTTTTACAGCCATAAAGTTTTTGTAAAGACCAAATTGTTGTCAATCAAGCTTTAGGTTTATTTTCTAAAGTTACAGCCCAAAAAAATTAATATCTTTTTGTTTTGACTGTAGATCTTAAATTTTCTACAGCTTAATATTTTTCGCTTTTAAGTGCTGTAGGTTTTTTTATTTCTCTTCTAATTTTTTCTTTCTCATGTAATGGATACATACTAATAATATAAATACCATGTATAGTCTCGTTTGTTATATATACTTTATATATATATTGAACGAAAAAACTTATGTGTATATTCTTTTCAATTAATATGTAGTTATTATATGAATACCATATAAAATACTTTATACATTTATATAAATGATTTATATGTTTATATAGATTCCATTTAACCTATATGCATAAATTTGTGTTGTTGTTTATTATATAATTGCTATTAAATAATTTTATTAACTATAATATAATTTAAGAAAATGTAATTTATAAGTACAAATTCAAATATTTACTAATCATAATTTTTAATTACAACTAATAATTTACTGTCAAAATTCGATATTCCTAAAATTTACAGTTACAGCCAAAAATTTACGGCTACAAGTTACACACTTACATCCAAAATTCTACAGCAAATAATCTACAGCTAAAATCTAACCAATCACCCAAGTTTTAATAAGTTTTAGACTAAGAGTCCTTCTAATAACCTCTTGTTGGAGATGCTCTAACTTCCCTTAGTTTAGATCTGAGAGACTGACACCTTGGTATACTAAACAATATCAAACACACATTTTCTTCCGAATTGCAGGTGACAACTTTTTTAGACCAAAAAAAAAGAAAAAAAAAACTAAAGAGTATTTTATTTAGAAAATACTTTTGAAGTCATTATCCACATTTTTTTAATTTAATGTAGCCAGTGATCAGAAAATTAGACTATATTTTAGTTTAACTGTGACAAACAAACAAACAAAAAAGATTATCCATATTATCCATATGAATGTAAGTTTGTCTAGATATTCTTACAAAAAAAAGTTTGACTAGATATCTTTTTGTTGTCCTAAATTTCAAGTGCACTAACGCGAAAACTATTTTACGGTGCAGTAAAAAGAAATAGAAAGGCCTTCTCAGTATGAAAAAATGTAGAAAATATTTTGATAAAAATATGGAAACAGTTATAAGAATTTATAATAGTGGAAATATGGAAACACTTACAAGAATTTATAATAGTGGAAAACTGGAAATTAAGAACTCTTTTTTATTTCTTTGCTTTGGTTCCTTTTTTCTACTTTTATACAAAAGGAAGGGTAAAGGAATTTGTAGCATCTAAAAGTATCTTACAAGTTATCTAATGTTTTTTTTGGGTAAAAAGTTATTTATATTATAATTCGTAGCATCTAGGTAATTTCCTTAGCCTTTAGAGTTTTCTACAACTATATCATAAATTCATATTATTTGTTACTATATATTTTTCCATGTCCTAGATTAGTTAAGCTTTGAAAACATTTTAGAAGTTGGATCTAATCTAATTAGACCTCTTTTGAATTTGATCCAGTTTTGATTACTGGGGTCATTGATTTATAACTACTCTTGACTCATTATAAGTGCTTTGGAAAATTTTATGTATTTTGTAATTGTTAGCATAGTCCTTGTTAGATAAATTACGTACATAACTTTTTATTTTCCGCTCCGTGGAACGAAGTGGACACATGTGTAAATGCATGTACATTAGTGGCCGGCATGTGTGCGTATTTGTTGTATAATACATTACAAAATAAACATAAGTATATACGTAAAAGGGATCTACGTTGAGAGAGTAGAGGACAAAGCGAATAAAGGTAAGACATGTGAGAGAAGAGGCCATGTTTTGCGGCAATATCACGAGGGCCACTATGTGTAACTTTATAATCTCGATGTGTATGTGCTGATCTCTTGGCTTCTCCTACTTGAACTTTAGCTTCTACCGCACCTTCTTCTCCGAGTATCTTATACTTTTTTCTTTATTAGCAAAGACTTTTTAGGCATTAACTTTACGTATTTATTGCCAATTATAAAAAAGAACATTAAATCTGTTTAATGTGTTGAACTATCAAGGGTTCTCAACTATGAACGTAAAACTATATATATTTTTAACCACTTAATTTTTATTTTGATAAAGATTTTGACCTTTTAATTTCCATGTCACATTTCTTGTCTTGAATATAATGGATCATACAAATATTAGTATGCAATTACTACTAGTCTAATTTGGTCTGATTTAGATAACAAAATGAGCATACAAGATTTATATATAGTGAAATACTGGATAAAAAATTAAAATTTACTCATTTATTACTACATTTATATAATTTCAACTATATGGGAGTGAGAACTTATGTACACTATAACAGTTCAGTCATATACAATACATGTTCACCATGTCTTTATATGGCATAATATACTCTTGAATATCAAGCTAGCTGGTAAAGTACGTTTAACCTTTTGATTTTAATAAAAAGTAACTTTAGAGTCGTTCGCAAATGAGAAATAGTCTCATAAGATAAGGATAATATGTGATGAACATGCCGACTTGCATGAATTTGCAATAAAATAAAGTACTGTTCCGTATATGTTTAGTCACTTTCACTTTAGTATAATTCCATGATTTTTGGTCAATTTTGATTTTAGCATATAAATTTTCAGTTAAAACAATTATATTTATAGCATATTATAATGCTATAAAACTTAAAATGTTTAATTATTGGAGAGCTTGAGTAGTCTTCCATAGAGTTAGTAGTGCTCCAATTTTCTGTATTTATTGAATTCAATTAGTTGTTTATATATTTTTATAGATAAATTCTGTGAAAATTTTGATAAAACATTACTACAGTATTGCTCGGTACATTAAAGATACTAGATATTTAGTGTTGTGGATAATTTATAATTATTAGGTAATCGTAGTATGACATGTAGATTTTGGACCCACAATGCTTTTTCTTTAGTATTTGTCAAAAAATAAAATAAAACACATTCTATATATGATTACATTTCTAAATAGTGAGATATTTGTGAATTTCTTTTTTCCAAGGTAAGTTTGAAACAAAATCTTACTTATATGCTAATTTAGAGTTCTTTAGGGTATTTGGAGTACTTTAAGGTATACTGTCTTTGCATTAGTCCTAAGAACATGGAGAAACAAAAAGACAAACAGAAAGGTGGCCAACTCCACTACATAGCTAATGCATACAATTTAAAATAATCAAGAATTATATATATGTTGTAGTTGATATCACCTACTCCAATAAAAATCAATTAATTTTTATATTTTATGACGAGTGTATATGCCATTATACACCAAAATCTAAATCTGGATCTGTGTCAATGTTTTGTATGGTTGGATGCAAGTATAACTTTCAAATACTCTATGCTTCTGAGTATTAAATAAACATTGAATCAAAGTGTATGTTAAAAATAAAACAAACTCTATATATATGTATGGATTAGTTATATGAAGAGTTTGATCCAACTCGATCACTTTTTCTTCTCGGATCCTTTCCCACCAAAAACACAAGCAAAACAACAAAGACTCTCTATCTCTCTTCTCTTTCTTCTTTATCGTTTATTCTATATATTATCGACATTGTAATCTAATTTGCACTGTCTTCAACATTCTCTTTTTCCATGGCTCCTCTCCCTTTCATACCGGAACAAACCCATTCGCAAACGCGTTTATCTTCAGACACAAAGAAGAAGAACAGAAACAAGAAAACGTCCCAACCGCCGCCTCAAACGCAAACGCTAAAGCAGAAGGAAAAGAAGAAGACGGTACCAACATCATCTTCATCGTCGTCATGGAGCCAGATAAAGAACCTTTTGAGTTGCAAACAAATCGAAGGGCCACGAGTGCACGAACCATCAAAGATTACTTCATCATCTTGTGGCACTTCTCTTTGTAGGTTTAGCGATGTTGTTTACGGTAATGCTCGCGTTATTCACCGCTCGGATCACTCGCCCGAGAGTAGCAATCTTGGTCAAGATGCCCGGTTGTTGACCCGAAAACCCGTCACTCGTGGATCTTCTTCTTCGGTTAGATCCAACGGTTGTGGCGCTTACACGTCGTATTCAACATCTAAAGCTATGCACTTCAGAAACCTCTCAGGTTGCTATGAGTGCCACATGATTGTTGATCCAAGCAGGTTCATATATATATACACCTTCTATGAATAATTATTATGTGAATTACTTAAATATATTCATATGAATAATTTTTACAAAAACAATAAATCAGAGTGATTAGATAATGATAGTTTGTTTATATCATTAGGTATCCAATAGCACCAAGAATATGTGCATGTCCACAGTGTGGTGAGGTCTTCCCTAAGCTTGAAACATTGGAACTTCATCAAGCAGTTCGTCACGCTGGTATGCTTTTCCCTTTAATTAGTTTATATATTTTCATGTGAAACTAAATTTTCTTATTACATCTTCTACCATATATCAGAATTCATAAAATATGAGGGCACTAGTAGCTATATATTATGCCATTATAGATCAGACACCAAGTTATTTTTAGTTGATAAAGCAGACATATATAAAGTTCAATTTAACTCAAAACTGTTTTTGGTTTAACTCAAATCTTTTATCAACATAAAATTTATTTGTTTCCTCTTTTGATTAGTTTCGAAATAAATTAAACAATATAAGTAATTGTCTGTCTTTTAGTAGTTTTCTTTTCTCGTAATTGGGGCCATAAATCTGGCATGTCCTGTCGTTGTTTTTGAATTTGTGTTTTTTTTTCCGTCGTTGGTTTTGGGATATGTATGTATATTACAGATTCATGGTACAAAAATTATAATATTTATGTCGAAGCCACATATTAAGCGACAAACAACATTATTAATCTATCACTCTATGGTTCTGATTTTTCTTTCTTTTTACATTATTTTTTTTTTGTGTTTGAGGTTTTTTTATATATTATTTTCAACCCAAAAAAAAAAAGATATAACGTTTTATAGTGGCTTTTTCAAATATCTTTTGGGATTTGCAAATATAGTAGTGAAATTTAGTTTGAACTAGCTGGCAAAGAAAAACAGCCTAACATCATACTACACCAAAATGAAATTCAGTTTTATTTACATGCATGGATTTAGAGCAAATAAAAATTAAACTAAAAAAATAAACAAAACCAAAACATATATATATATATATATATATATATATATATATATATAAAATGCATTTAGACTTTAACTAGATGGATTCTTTTATCATATGAAAATTTACATCGCAACCATGCTATATTACAAATAAAAACGTTTTGTAATAATTTTGTAGAATAATATATGAATCTTGGATTCCTTCTACTTGTGGTAGATTTAAGGATCCATCTCTACAGTGACAAAAAATATATGTGAAGATGTTTTTGTAATGTAGTTAATTTTGATAACAGTGTCGGAGTTGGGGCCAGAGGATTCAGGGAGAAACATAGTAGAGATCATCTTCAAATCTAGCTGGTTACGTAAAGACAGTCCCATCTACAAGATCGAACGGATATTAAAAGTCCACAACACTCAACGCACGATCCAACGGTTCGAAGATTGTCGCGACGCAGTCAAGTCCCATGCACATGGTTCGACCAGAAAAGAGCCACGATCTGCCGCCGATGGCAACGAGCTTCTTTGCTTCCACTGCACCACCGTTTCTTGCTCCCTCGGCTCATGCGGTTCGACCTCCATTTGCTCGGCCATCCCTGGCTGCCGCGTCTGCACCATTATCCGCCACGGCTTCCACGCCAAAACGGTACGTGTAGGCAACGGCGAAGGAAAAGAGGAGATCAAGGGCGTGAGGACCACTGCAAGCAGTGGAAGAGCACACGACGCGTTGAGGTGTTTTGACCAGCGGAGGGCGATGCTTGTTTGCCGCGTGATCGCGGGAAGAGTGAGGCGCGTGCAGAGTGATGTTCCGGAAGATGAAAGTGGTTCTGGCTCGTATGATTCGGTTGCAGGGGCCGCTGGGGTCTACACAAGCCTCGACGACTTGGTTGTGTATAATCCAAAAGCTATACTTCCTTGCTTTGTGGTTATCTACAAAGTCTCCGAGCCTTAAAAAGTATTGCACTTTGCACGATTTGGATTTGTAAGTTTGTTAATTAGTGGAATTTGTGAAGTAGTGGATTCTAATATTTAGGAAAAAAAATTAGCATATTAATTGTGTAGAAGTGTGGTGGTGTGGCCTAGTCAAGAGTGAAAGAGATTAGTGTCTCCTCTTTTTTATTTTTTTCCTATGATTTCGATTCGACTTGTATCTCAGTTGTTTCTTCAAATTTTAACATTTTCTCATGTTGATTAAAAAAAATGAATAGTATGATTTATTGATTAAACATATGGGTGGTTTATGTTTTTTTTTGGTATGAAAAAAAAAAAAAAAAAAAAACATAAACCACCCATATGTTTAATCAATAAAATCATACTATGGGTGGTTTATGTTTGCCACAGAAAGAGTAAAGTTGCATAAAGAAGGGAAATGTGTTTTGTAGCTGGAAGGAGATGAGTAATATTTCCAGGCGGGTTTTATAGAAAATCACTTTCTTGTGGCTCTTAACATAGTATACAGTTTACAGTTACTAGATGCAATACAATCAATTCAAACTTTAACCTTTTGATTATCTTTATTCGCTTTAGAAGTTTTATTTTGGAGGATATATATATTCTCTCGGTTTTGGAGATTCTTAAAATTTGAAATTTAACAAGCAAATCTTAACTTCTTATATCTACTTTACAGAGCTGGTCCCAAGCAAGAGAAGTTTAGATTTGCAGCCTGAATTTCATTACAATTTTCAGAGGCCACAATTTTAGTCACAAAAGAAATAGTAGTAGTGGTAGCATCAATCAAAACAATAACAATTCCATGATTCATTGTCTTTTGATATTCGTATCCAATCTTTAAGTGAACATCGCTTATATAACATGAGGACACACATCTTTCACCTACGCATATAGGTATTTTATATTAGCCACAACCCATTTTCTGTGTGCACTCATTGGTTGTGTTACATACTTACATCGTGTATCTTTAGATTTTTTCATCCTGTGTCACTTATGAGGAGTACACTCACAAGTTCCATTGTTGCAATATGCTAGACCTTTGTCACAAGGCAGAAGATGGCACTCATCGTTTCTTTGACACTTAGCTTTGACTAGATCTTGTCCTTCATATGTATACGCAATGTGTTAGTTCAACATGATTTGTCATAAAGAAAAATAATGATTTATATATAAGATTAGTTTCCAATCATTTGTTTTCCTTTTTTTTTTTCAATGCTCATTGTCTTCTTAATAATACTTTCTTTTTTTGCGTATATTAAATATCACATTAAACGAAACAAAGGTTAATCCCATTTGGTGTTATAAAAGAAAAACAACTTTTAAAATGTTAGAATATACAATACTTTTGAATTTGAAACATGAATTGGATAAGAGATCATGATTAGTTCACCCTTCTTAAAAATGTGTTCCCATCTGAAAAATGATGTGAAATCTTATTTGGAGAACATACGATTTTTTAGTAACTTTGGTTTCGTATGGACAGACCTAGCTATACTAAATTGAACATTTGTTTTTGGTAACTTTGGTTTCGTATTCCATTATCTTCAATTGATTGTCGCATGATTAGGTGTTAGTCTGAGTTCATTTTGCTTCATATTTTGTTTTACGATCTCTTTATTGGATAACTCGGAGTTTCTTTAATCAAAAGCTGCTATAAATCTTCGTTTGCAAAAACAAATCTGTTAAAAATAAATTAACAAAAGAATTGTGGCAACGTGAGAATGGAAGAGAAAGGAAACCGTCACTGATGCCACAAAGCCCTAGAAAAATATGATAAGATATAGTCGTAATTAATTATTTTAAAAATCAAATACGGCTATTAGTTTTAACAAGTCTTTTACGTTAATATTATGTCTGCCATGTCCTAATTTTGTAGATTTAAAAAAAAACTGCCAAACATAACCTTCTCGTGATAAAATCCGACTTCAAATAAAAACTATAAATCTGCCATGATAAAATAAAAATTTGTCATAACATTAAAAAATCTGTTGTCACTAAATAAGTCATTCTAGTAATTTATTTTTAATTCAAGAAATATGCAATAAAACACCAGATTTTTGTAAACTAAACATAAATCTGGCATAACATAAAAAAAAATATGTCATAACGTTAAACATATCAGTTGTGACTATATGTCTTTATATTTTTCAATAAATTTGCTGTAACATTCCTGATTTTTTGTTAACATTAAAAAATTTGTCATAACGTAAAACAAATCTGTCAACACTAAAAAGATAAACTAGTAATTATTTTTTTATTAACAAATCTGCTGCATTATGATAGATTTTTTCCAAAAAATATAAGTCTAATTACCACTAGAAATAAAAATCTGCTACACATTATAATAAAACTGTTAAAAGTACAAAAGTGTAAGGCGTCATCATAAAATAAGTCTGGCAAAAAAAATAAATCTGCTACAAATTAAATATTTGTCGTAACCATATTCAAATAAGTCTGTGGGAGGAAAAAAAACAATTGCAGAAAATCTGTCGTAGATCATTAAGTCTGTCGTAGAAAATAAATCTGTCACAACGACACCCGCAGATTTTTCACGACAGATTTGTTTTTTCGAAAAATTTTTACCCATGTTTCCAAAAAAATCAGAGGTTAATATTGTAGCGACCCTGAACCGTACTAGACATAAGTCCGGCTATAACGTACATGTGACAAGTACTTCACACGAACAGACCGAGGTTCTAGCATAAAACCAGCGTCCTTAGTCCGTCCGTCCTTAGTACCGTCCCTTCCGATCCCGAAATCAGGCTTGCCAACCCTTTTCCGATAAAGGAAGTTGTGTCGGCCCGGACAAGGCCTTATCATCATTTCCTCGCCATAATAATTAAACATAACTTTATTTAATAATAATAATAAAACAACGTTAATACAAAAATCCAGTTTTACCGAGTCATGACTTAAGGCAAATACCAAAAAGCAACAAAAGCATCATAAACAACTAAACAGAAACATACGTCTTAAGAAAAAGCAACAACAAACTACACCAGCGGCCTACACGTCCAAACTCCCTCTAAAGCGACCCAACTAATGGTTACCTGCAACAAAATAGTGGCATCATGAGTACTAATTACTCAGTTAGTTAGGCACCTAATCTCGGAAATTAAACACCCCAAAGTCCCCAACAAAAAATAGATCAACAAGCAAGCAAGCAAAACCATTGACGGAACAATGGTAAACAATCAATGTAACATGCAATCCTAAACAAACAACCAATAAACAACAAATAACTACAACACAACAAATCCTATGGCCATGTGAACGATCCTTCCCATCAAACAAGTGAACAGTCAGTTTATAGCCACGAAGTCTACAAACGATGTACCACATGGGCCTTCCACGACGGGCAATCCCCGTTACCTCGTCAGATAACTGTTCGGCCCTTGGGAGCGACCCAGTCTCTCCGAACCCCAAAACAAACAGGGAAGCGCACTCGAACACCACGAAACTCTAAACAATACGACACAACAACGGGAGCCAAACCACAACAATAATAAACAAACAAACAAGGAAACAATCAAGAAGAGAAAGTTCGTGTGCCACCACATACGCTTCGGAACTCACAGATCTTGAAGGCTAATCAGATCTCTCGGTGATTCTTCTCGGCAACGGCAGAACAACGGCAAACGGTTTCCGGCAGAGCTTCTTCACCTTCGGGAACTCCTCCTTCTCCCAAAAATGAAGAGCCACTACCTCTATTTATAGGTGAGGACCTCTCACGCATGCGGAACAAGTGGCGAACGTCCGACGTCACTTGGCGGAGACTTCGCGACACACGGCGGACATGCGTCCGCATGTACGACACACGACCACCATGCACTCGTTCCGACACACGGCGAACATGCGCTCGCATGGCCGACACTCGGCGATCATGCTTCCGCATGTTTGACATATCACCGCACGCATTACGGTGTTGATCCGTCGAATCAGGTCTGTTTTACGGAAGATACACCGAATCTAGTCTAGATTTACGAAATCTAGAAAGATTTAGCAAACCTTTGAGGTCACATCACAATCTCCAAAATCACATCAAAATCTTCTTTTTTCCTAAAATGTGGGATTTTCTCCCCAAACTCCTGACAACAAAATCTTTACTTTTCCATAAAATCCGAGATATGCTCTCCATAACCTCAACATAATTTTATGGCTAGATTTTCATAATGTGGTTCACCCGCAACCACCAAAAATTCTCTGTTCTCACCAACATGCTAACGATACGAAACCGCACACTCGGAATCGTAAATAATCAACCCGTTTGATATTTTGACCGTAAACAACTTTTTCTTCGATCAAAAATATTTAAATAACCTTCCGAGTTATTTACAACGAAATAAGACTCAAAATTAATCCGACAAAAATTTACGTACCGCGGTCGAACTCCTAGTCAACGACCGGGTTATTACACCCTCCCCCACTCATTAGATTCGTCCCGAATTCTATCGCGATCTGAGGGCTATGCTTCTTCTTCTTCTTCCGAATCCGTATTCATCGGATCTTATTCTCCTTCAAAAAACTCCGGATAGTCTTTACGGAAATTTTCCTCATCTTTCCAAGTGACTACAACGCGATGTTGCTTACCCCAAAACACTTGCACCTGAGGAATCCTCCTTTTCCTGAGGGTTCGAATACGCCTCGCACCAATACTCAATGGTCCTCCAGGATAAGTCAAATTCGTCTGCAAGTCATCGATCCTCTCCGGTTCGATCGCATTAGGATCTCGGATATGTCTCCTCAACATAGACACGTGAAACACCGGATGCAACGCTTTCATACTTTCTGGAAGTTCCAAACGATATGAGACTTCTCCGATCCGTGCACACACACGATAAGGTCCAATGTACCTTACTCCCAACTTTCCAACTCTCCCAAAACGATCCCTGCCCTTCTTAGCAGCTATCTTCAAATAAACAAAATCTCCGATTTCGAAGACCACTTCTCTTCTCTTTTGATCAGCGTACTTCTTTTGCCAATCTTGGGCCTTCTTCATACATTTCTGAGCCAACTTAACTTTCTCCGTCATCTCATCAACTTCCTTTGGCCCAACAATGCCTCTTTCACCAACTTCTGTCCAGCACAACGGTGTGCGACAGGGTCTTCCATACATAGCCTCGAATGGAGACATCCCAATGCTAGAGTGATAACTGTTGTTATACGCAAACTCCACATATGGTAAATGATCCTCCTATTCTGTACACCATTCCAAAACACACATCCTTAACATATCCTCGATAGTCCGGATGGTTCTCTCCGTTTGACCGTCTGAGTCGGGATGAAAAGCAGTACTCATATGGACTTTCGTCCCTAAAGCTTCTTGTAGCGCTCTCCAAAATTTTGCACTAAATCTTGGATCACGATCTGACACAATATTAGCAGGCACTCCATGCAACTTTACCATATTCTTCACGTAAACATCGGCTAAGTATTCAGACTTATCCTTCTAATGGTTTGAAAACATCCTGGTAGTACCGTACTACCGGAATATCCTCAATCTCCAATGCATCATCTGATTCACTCCCAACCACAGTTAGAGTAACCAGATATGCCTCTCCTTGTTCCAACTCTTTTTCCACTCTCAAAACAGATACAAACGACACACTCGAACTAGGGTTAATCCCATAGTACGTCAACGTAGGTTCCTTTCCTTCACCAAAGGTAATCCTACCCTTTCCACAATCTAACTTTGCCTTATAACTGGATAGCCAATCCATGCCGAGAATCGCCTGATACCTCTCCATAGGCATCACAAACAAATTAGCCGGGAACACACTTTCCGCGACTATAACCGGTACATCAACCACTAAGCTCCTCGGTTTAAGGGTTTGGTTTCCAGGGGTTAACACAGAAACACTAACTTTCCTAACAGCAAAAGTTCCCTTAAACCTAGAGACTACTTCCGGATTCACAAAACTATGTGTGGCTCCCGAATCAAACAAAACATGCGAGGGATTACCACCAACATGCAATGTTCCTAACCACAAACCAACAATAACTAACTACACAACTAACTAACCAAACAAGCAAGCAATAAAGAAAGCACGCAAAAACACTCAATCAAAACGAGAAGTTAGAACCCATACTTACGTGTAATGGGACCCTTGGGAGGGCCGGAAAGGTCTGGGGTTCCTACATCTAGGGCAAAAACTCTTCCAACGGCTTGCTTCTTGGCAGGATGTTCCGTCGCAGATCTTGTCGGTGGGAGATGAGCTTTAGCTTGAGAAACCTTCTTAACCGCTGCTTCAGGATATGCCGCCATACACTTATTCGCATAGTGACCCACCTCACCACACACATAACAAGTGATATGCGGAAACTCATTCATCACACTAGATTTTTGAACTGAACAATTCCGAGAGATATGACCAAATTCACCACAGGAATAACACTCAATCAGAGGATTCGCCTTCGGTTCACTACCGCTTCCTTTAACCATTTTCCCTTTACCTTTGAAGTTTGGTGCACCTTGCTTCTTCTGAGCTTGAAACTTAAATCTCTTGTTTCCCTGCTCTCCAGACTTCCTTTCGGTTTCAGCATTAACTCCCTCTTCTACACTAACCGCCTTCTCGATCAATGCAGTCAGAGTCAGAAACGTCACTGCTTGTAGCCGGTTCCTTATACTCGGACGCAGTCCTTGCATAAACCTCCGAATCATAGCTGCTTCATCATCTTTTCCATAAAACACAAACCTTCGGAGCCTCATGAACTCCGCTTCATATTCACGAACAGTTTTGTCACCTTGCTCCAAAGCCATGAACTGAGATTCAAGCCAGTCTCTCACTTCAGGTGGAAAATACTTGTTCTCAAACCCTCTCTTGAAATCAGCCCACTCCGGCGTCTTTTCTCCATACTGCCTTTCAACACTGGACCACCAACAAACTGCATCATCCACGAGATAAAATGCATCAACATCCTTCTTGAAATCTTTAGGACATCTTGTAGCCGAGAAATTCTTCTCCAATTTTTGAAGCCACGAATCAGCCTTAAACGTTCTCACTCCTCCATTGAATGGTTTAGTTCCAAGGTTCTTCATAATCGTTACTATCTTCAGATAGTCGGAGCACGATTAGATCCCGATGAACTACTAGTCGAACTCTGCCGACGGTTCAAATGGTTCAACATCTCATACATCAACTTCACCATTGGGTCTTGAGTTTCCACTGGCTCAGCAACCAATGGTTCATTCCTTCTCTTTGCGTCATCCTTTAATGGCACAGGCTACTCCGGTTTCACCTCCGAACGCTCGGAATACTCACGACGATGCCTTTGGTTACCACGCTCACTTGGTTCCCAAGACAAAGATTCCTCAGAGGACTCATTCTTCAGAACTTCCCCCATTTTGGAGACTGACATAAGTCCAACTGAAGTTTCCGATCCAACCAGAGGTGGAGCATCCTCACTTTCATTCTCAGCTTGATCATTTTGATTATTCCTCTTGAACTCTCGATTCCTTCTTCTCAAAGTTCTCGAACCATCACCGACATATCCATCAGCCAAACCATCCTCACTCGGATTCTCTCCCAATCCCACAGACTCAGATCCTTGACGAGACATTTGCAACAACGAACATGGTTAGTCCTAATCCCACCTACCTAAAATGTTTGGACGTACTGGTTTCCTAAGTTGCTTTTGCGACACAATTTTTGACTTGAAAAACCGATTTGAAATGCACGTGGAAAAGCATGAGCATCGATAAACCATGCTCTGATACCACCTAAAACTGTAGCGACCCTGAACCGTACTAGACATAAGTCCGGCTAGGAACGTACATGTGACAAGTAATTCGTATGAACAGACCGAAGTTCTAGCACAAAACCAGCGTCCTTAGTCCGTCCGTCCTTAGTACTGTCCCTTCCGATCCCGAAATCAGGCTTACCAACCCTTTTCAGGAAAGGAAGTTGTGTCAGCCCGGACAAGGCCTTTTCATCATTTCCTCGCCATAATAATTAAACATAACTTTATTTAATAATAATAATAAAACAACGTTCATACAAAAATCCAGTTTTAACAAGTCATGACTTAAGGCAAATACCAAAAAGCAACAAAAGCATCATAAACAACTAAACAGAAACATACGTCTTAAGAAAAAGCAACAACAAACTACACCAGCGGCCTACACGTCCAAACTCCCTCTAAAGCGACCCAACTAATGGTTACCTGTAACCAAATAGTGACATCATGAGTACTAATTACTCAGTTAGTTTGGCGCATAATCTCGGAAATTAAACACCCCAAAGTCCCCAATAAAAAATAGATCAACAAGCAAGCAAGCAAAATCATTGACAGAACAATGGTAAACAATCAATCTAACATGCAATCCTAAACAAACAACCAATAAACAACAAATAACTACAACACAACAAATCCTATGGCCATGTGAACGATCATTCCCATCAAACAAGTGAACAGTCCGTTTATAGCCACGAAGTCTATAAACGATGTACCACATGGGCCTTCCACGACGGACAATCCCCGTTACCTCGTCAGGTAACTGTTCGGCCCTTGGGAGCGACCCAGTCTCTCCGAACCCCAAAACAAACAGGGAAGCGCACTCTAACACCACAAAACTCTAAACAACACGACACAACAACGGGAGCCAAACCACAACAATAATAAACAAACAAACAAGGAAACAATCAAGAAGAGAAAGTTCGTGTGCCACCACACACGCTTCGGAACTCACAGATCTTGAAGGCTAATTAGATCTCCCGGTGATTCTTCTCGGCAACGGCAGAACAACGGCAAACTGC